CATGTGATGACCTAGGCTTTGCACAACTGATCCATGCCACAAAAGCTTACTGGGCTTCTGTAATGGAGCAATTGTTTTCTGTTTCCTTTCATTATTATCTATATTTATTAACTACTATGCAGCCTTAGTTCTTACTTTCATTGGCATATATATTCATTGTATATGGTGACAAGTCTCATAACGACATCTTTGTCAGCTGAATTTGAATGCAATGGGTCCAAAACCAAAATAATCTTGGGTTATCTTGGTGTTGTTCTTTTTTTTTTCTTTTTTTAAATTAATTTATTGTTTACATTCCAATCCCAGTTCCCCTCCCTCCTCTCCCCCACCATCACTTCCCATCTGCTCCTCAGAGAGGCTAAGTCCTTCCCGAAGAAGTCTACTTAGTGTTGTTCTTAATAGCTGGTCTATTGCTTTGCTCTGTACACGAATGAACATTCTTGCTATCAAAGCTATATAACAGCATTGGCTTCAAGAAGATCTACAAGCACTGGGATTGTAAAAGTATGCCATAGCACACAGCTCTGAGTATTTTTTGTATTCATTGTGAATAGAATAGCTTTCACAGTTTCCTTTTCAAATAGTTCCTCCCTAGTGTGCAAAAATGCTTACTTTTAAATGTTGATTTTTATTTTATTTTTTATTTCTTTATTAATTTCAATAGAAACTTTTGTGTATCATTTAGCGTTTTTCTATCTGTAAGACCATGCAAATCTATAAACAAGGACAATTTGGCTTCTCCTTTTCTAACCTGGACACGTGCTATTTCTTTCTGTTGGCCGTGAGGTCTTGCCAGGGTGTCTAATATTACATTGGCAAACTTCTATCTCCAAAAATATTTACATTACATAACAGTAGTAAAATTATGAAGTAGTAATGAAAATCATTTTACAGTTGGGGGTCACCACAATATGAGGAACTTTATTAAAGGGTTGTAGCATTAGGAAGGCTGAGAACCACTGCTTTAGGCACACCTGTGAAGGCATTTCCGACAGTACTAATAGCCATTCCCTCAACTAGGGCAGTACCTTCTGATATGGGTCAAAATTATGTCATGGTGTTTGTTGTTTTTGTTGTAGTTTTGGCAGAGCTAGGCATTGGGATGTGTGCAGTCCACCACTGAAATATATGCCTGCCTGACCCATTTTTACGTTCCCAAAGTGCCTTGCTTTATGTTCCTCAGAAGAAGTGCTTACCAAGGAAACAGATCAGGGAAAGGGAAACTTAGATTTTAAGTAACAGAATCATCTACATGGCACATCCGACTGCCTGGAAAATTATATAAGACAGACGAGGGAGAAGCTAGAAACCCCCCGCCACATGGTTCAGCAAGATGGCTCAGTGGGGAAAGGTGCTTGCTGCCAAGTCTGAGAAACTGAGCTTGATCCCTAGAGTCTACACAGTAAGAGAGAGGACAGTTCGCCACTGACTTCCACTCATGTGTTATGGCATGCAAATACCTTCACACGTATCCACACAGATGAAACAAATGAATTTATAAGGAGTAAATGTGTTTTCAAACATAAACAATATCTGTGTGCTTCTCCAATAACATATTAAGTGATTGTTATGTCCTACTTAACCAAAAATAAACCTATACATTCAAAATTATCATTATAAGGTCTTAGAGAAGAAACACATTTCTTCACAGTGGAAATTACCATAATGTCTCTTAAAATATATAACCCTGCCCTAGATGTATCAGAGTGGCATTTGTGAAAAAAATCACAAGTTTTATTCTCATGATAATGCTTTTGTATCTGTGTACAGCCTTCATGTACATGACTTTAAACAGCTTTAAACATGTCTGAACACACATACAGACATAAGTCAGGGTCCTTCTCTGAACATGCATGATTTCTTTTTGATGATTAAGACATTGATGATTTTAGTTCTCTTATTTACTTATTTATTTATTTTAAAAAATAAGACATGCATCTCTTGGTGCTGGCAAAAACAAACAAAAAAAGGTAATTATGCTTTTGAAAAGCCATTGTGATGGCCTAGAAAAGAAATAATTGCCATATTTAATACCATAGAGATTTTATTTACTAAAATGTGCATTTGAGCAGGAGAGCAGAATATTCAACTGTAACAAAACTAGATTCTCAAAACACCTGTGTACAAATCTACTTCCCATCCTCAACCCGCTCTGTGATCCTCCTGGCCACTCTTCAGATCAACTCTGCTCTAATGCAACCCAGTGAATGCTGGCCTTCTACACGCTGACACGCCGGGTCAGCTGAGGTCGGCGTGAGGAAAGTTCTCCTCCAGACAAACTCCAGTCTTCAGAAGAAAACAGACCTCCCATGGAGATGGACTGCGCATATGTGTGGACTCTTCAGATTAGATAACGAACCACAGTGGCCTGTTGACGGTCATTTCATTTCCTGGGGCTGAAGCCCCATGTTTACTGAGATGGCCTTCTGAAGTTACAAAGCACCCACAACCCTCTGCAGCCATAGAATTTCCTTTTTCAGGGAACTTTGGAATCTGAGGTCAACATGTCTTTCTTCCCACAGACAGCCTTGACCGTGGAAGAGCTAGATAAGGGGGACTCAGGACAGGCTCTCTGGAGATTGGGTCAATGAGACCCAGGTTGGCTCCTAGGCTGTTATCTGGCTACACAGGTGACTCTTTCCCTCACCTGAAGTTTGGTGTCACAAAGCTGCCAGGACCAGGGTGTTACAGCCTTACCTCCTCTGCACAGAGCTTTTTGCTTAGAAAACTGATGTTAGACCACAATAGACTTTAGTTCCTATAGGGTATATCTATATTCTCATCAAAAAGTCACCACGAGTAACCGCTGTGGAGATGCTAACCCTCCGCCCTAAGCTTGCTTTGGGGAAGGGTTGTGTTTTCAGTTTGGGCTTTGGATTAACTGAGCAAATGGCCATGAGTTGTTTGCTGTTGGATGGTGTAGGCAGTTGTTACTGTGTACAAAACACATTGCTTTCTGAGTTCACTCTCTCTTGGTTTGCTAATTTATTCAACAGTGACTTGAAGGCCTGACATGCAGCTGTCCTACATGTTCAGCTGTGTCAAAGTGTTCCAGAAAATTCCATCCTTCTGCCTTCGTGGCCTGGGACCTGGTGTGACTTACCTTAAGTGGGTAACATGCTAACAGGAGGCCCGTTAGAGGCTTTGGGTGGTAACCTGAGGAAGGCTGGAAAATTTGTCCTGGCGAAGAAGGGCACAGGCCAGAAAGAGGGCTGGCCAGGGATATGCCAGCCCTCCCATCACAGAATTCTGTCCCTATCTCAGATCTTAAGAGTACCGGCTGCTCCTCCAGAGGACCCAGGTTCAGTTCTAATTCCTGTAAGGTGGCTATCAGCAATCTCTAAGCTCCAGAGCATCTGACCACCTTTTCTGCCTCCACAGACACTGCACGCATGTGGTGCACACCCATACATGTGGGCAAAAACACCCACATGCATAAAATAAAAATAAGCAAAGCTTAAAAGAAATTTAACCTGGTTTTAACCAACCTGTCACAAACTGAAAACACCCCAGATGTTTTCTATCAGATTTCTTCTTAGCATAAGTTCCCAGAACAATTTTCCCAAAGCTTTCTGTTTTTTTCTCTTTGTCTCAGTCACTCTTCTGTTGCTATGAAGAGGCACCATGACCATGGCAACTTTTATGAAAGCTGGGGTGGCTTCCAGTTTCAGAGGTATAAGCCATTGTCATCATAGCATGGTGGCATGCAGGAAGACATGGAGGTAGAGAAGTAGGTGAGAGAGAGACAGAGAGAGAGGAAGAGAGACAGAGACAGAGATGAGAGATAAAGAGAGAGAGAGAGACTGGCCTGGCAAGAGCTTTTGAAAACTCAAAGTCTACCTCCAGTGATATACTTCCTCTACCTAGGCTAAACCTTAAAGTCCTTTGCAAATAGAGCTACTCCCTGATGGCTAAGCATTCAAATATCTGAGCCTATGGGAGTCAACCACCACTCTTATTAATAATTTCCTTCAACGGCTGGCTCACTGAGTGTGCCTCTATGCTCTCAGCAATCCATACAATTCCTTCCATTTCTTATTTGTTCTTTGTGCGTGTTACTACTGGGAAATAGTTTAGTACTTCCAACTATCAAAAGAAACCATCACTTGCTTTTCTAGAGAGAATGTGCCCTCTTAAGATGAACTTTCCTCTTCTGTGTTTGAGAGGAGGAAGAGTAACAGCAAAGCCACGTGTGCTGGTTCATTAGGCTATTCGCATGCGAGGAAACTGGCCCATACTCAGGCCTGTACATTAAACTGTACAGTAAGAAAGGGGATGAGAGCCTTCGATACACTAAAATGACAAATACTGCATGTTCTCCATCACAGGCGGAACCAAAATTCCAAAGGTTAGATATGTGTGCCCAGGGGACAGTAATGCACATGGAAGCAATGAATCTAGAACGGGGCCTTTGTAAAGGTTAAAAAAGATGTTCTGAGGGCGAGAGACAGGAACGACAGAATAGCACAGGAAATACTGAAGCAGAAGTTGGAAATGGGAGTGAATGGGAGGCGGGGTGTGGGAGAACTGGATCTACCAAAACAGAGCACTTATTAAATAATGTAGTAATCTTGTTTTTAAATACAATTAATTCTTCCTTAAAAGACGGTGGCTCTGGGCGTTACAGGAGCGTGCCCGTCCAGAACATTCCATATCCAGCACTTTCTCATCTTCCCATGAACACCTTGGAACACAACCTACTCTACCAACCTGGGCTTATCTGCGATTAAAATTAGAAGTATGTCCTTGGAGCCAACCCCTTCCCTGCCACTTTTCCCTGACACGGCTTGGGAAGATAAGGCTCTCCTATAAAAACACATCTCAGGGTTCCCTTGTTGTCCGTAGAATTTGACGGATCCGCCACGGTGAGTCAGGAACATGGTTTTGGGGCTGATTTTGTAGATTGCTCCCATTTCCTCCCAAGTCTGAGTGAATGTGATTATGTTAATCTTTGGAAACCCGGGTTCTTCAGACTCAGCCGTGTTTTTACTTCTGTGCAGATGCTGCCGCTGTGGACATTTGCAGTGCTGCTGGGAGCAGTAGCTGGTAAGACGGGATGGGTGCGGAGTCGGGAGAGCTCTCTGTGTGATTTTTCCTGGAAGCCGGTGACAGCCGGGTTCCAGCCTTCATGAGGATGAGGAATCAAGTGAGCTCGTTGGAGTAAGGACACAAGCACTAGGTTATGTTTCCAGATAAAGCCCTCATAGCCTGCTCAAGTGGGCTACAGAAACACAGATAAATCAGATGAGCAGAAATGTGCAATATACTCAATATTAATTTTTTTCCAAAAATATCCGGATAAACATCTGAATTTTAACATTAACACTTATGTTCAAAGAGTAGCACACATAACTTGGATTCAAGAAGGAGCTCAAATAGTCTTTTCATTAACTAACTCTATGACCCTAAGAATAATCCATAATCCATACCCCTCTGAGCCTCCGTATACTGACCTGTCAAATGTAGTCAATGAAAACTCTCTCAGGATGCTTAAGATAAAAGAATCACCTCATCCAGCATCAGCTGAAGAGTACGAGTCTCCCCCCTCACCCCCACACAGCTGCTGTTACTCTATCATCAATCTCTATCTTCAGTCCTAACAGCCCCAGACCCCCTTCTTAGGCTAGCAAGCCAGCCTACAGCTGTGTTAAATCCTAGACGTTTAGTTTTGTGGGTGTATTCTTCCTCATAGGATCCAGGTTAGTCCTCAGACATATTCAGCCAAGATGGAGATACAAAGTTTGGCTCTTGCATGGAACTAAATGTCTCCCCTTAAGTACGAGGCCAAATGGTGGCCACTGGTAGTTGAGAAAACTAGCATACACACAGTGCCCATCAGGAACTGGGACTGGGCAGAGGCGTGAGGGGAACACACGGCCCCTGGGGTAGACCAGCAGGCTGTCTGCAGCAGAGGAGGCTGCTTCGTGAGTGTGAGCAGGTGGGGGTTTGGAGAAGCAGAGGGAGAAGATATGCCATGAGATGAAGTTAAATGCATATCTATCGTGCCTGAGAAACTAATAAAAGAACATTCTGGCTAAACTAACTCCTTGACTCACTGGGTGATTTTAGGACGAGAAGTCTGCTACGATAGACTCGGCTGCTTCACTGACAATTCTCCATATGGAGGAACTTTGGAAAGACCTCTCAAAGTGTTGCCCTGGTCTCCAAAACTTGTCAACACCCGCTTCCTCTTATACACTAACGAGAATCCCAGCCGCTACCAAGTAAGAGAACTCCTGGATCTTTAGCACTTAACTCCAGTTTCATGTAACAGGAACAGATTTTATTTGGGCATGTTTTATGTTTCCATAAGAGTAGACTACCGTGACTCGTACAGAAGAAGGGTGTAAGGTGTAAGGTTTTTCCTCCCGCTGCCAGTCTTGGCCCGCCACCGCACCAGCCCCAAATAACGCACAGAGACTCTGTATTTGATACAATGCTGTTGGCCAGGTACTAGTTTCTTATCGGCTAGCTCTGTCTTAAGTATTAACCCATTTCTGTTAATCTACATATCTACATATTTCCATGTGCTTTCATCTTACTGGGGAATGGGCTGACGTTGTGCTCTCTCCAATCTCTCCATCTTGACTCCTCCCTACTACTTCCTCGAATCCTCCCTGTCTCCTAGTCCCGCCTATCTTCCTTTCCTATTGGCCAACAGTGCTTTATTCATTAACCAGTATGAGAAACATATTTACAGAATGTCATCTCCCATCAGAAGGGGACTCTAGGATTAAAGCCCCTGGATGAGTGCTCTCACACTGCATCGCAGGATAGTGAGCAACGAAGCATGCTGGGAGAAGTGTGTAAGAGATGAGGAATCTCCCAAGGAACCTACTCCTGTGGCCACCACCCTGTCAGAGCCTGCTCCAACCAGTGAGCTGGGTTACCAGAGTAGGGGCGTGAGGATTGAGAATGGGCAGATAAAAGAAACAGAAACACTGAACAGATTCAGGAGGACTGCTCAGTCCATGACTCTGCTTTTATACAGACCAGAGGCAAAGCAGAACGGAGAGCCGCGTAATCTGTTAACCACCGTCCTTGAATGGAGGAGCAGCCAGGCTCACTATCTGGCATGTGTGTCCTACCAGCCGCAAGCAGCTGCATTATCTAACTGTGTGCTTACAGCTGGCATCGGTAGCTCATCAAAACCAGGTGTAGCTAAGACCCAGAAATACTCCTGAAGAGCATCACTTTACAGACACACTCCAGAACATCTTAGGGTAAGGGCACGTCCCCCCAGACCATACTCACTGCTTTGAGGGTTCAGTGCTCTCTCTCAAAGGCTTGCACCTCACACCTACAGACCACCCGAGCTGGTGTTAACAGGCTGCTGGTTCTGAGGTATTGCCCTAGTGGGGTTCTCTGTGGAGTCCTATCACATTCTGTCTTTGTCCCCAGGCTATCCACAAATGTCTCTCACATCTAGATCAAAGTCAATGCCTCCCAGCCCTTGCATTACTTGAGCCTGAGGAGAAGATTGCATGCATATATAACCAAGATTTGCTGAGTGTTTCCTCTAGAGGGGTGGCCTGAGTCACACGAGCTACAAGTGAACTCCCAGTGTGACCTCTGAGACTTACCACAGCTTATATTAGAGAGACCATGGATAATGGTCCCTGTCTACCTCTTGTAGAGCCGTTGCCCTTTGAAGGGAGACACAGGCTCCAAGGTCTTGGGACTCTTTCTCCTCTCATTCTAATGAATGTTACCTGGATTCTCCGTGTTGTAATCATCCTTTTGAAAAGCTGCCTCTGGGCACACCCCTGTTATGCTCTCCTAAAGCTACCATTCACCCTGCTAAATCCCCAGGCTGCGTATTTCCCCAGCCTCTATGTTTTGCTTCTCTTTTTGTTATAACTCACACCTTGGAGTTACTTTTTCTCTTCCATACACGTATGCAGTGGGAAGTGTCAATGCAGAAGCCTGAATACTTTCCTTCCTTGACATTCCATCTGCCAAATAGTCTATTGCTTTTAAGTTCTGTGTTTTATAAAGTCCTAAAGCACTCACACAATCCAGCTAAGTTCTTTGTAACTATAAAATGAAGGTGGCCTTTTCTCCCATTTACAGTGCCTTCCGTTTCTATTTGATACCTCATGAAAATGACCCCTCCGTCCACATTTCTATCAGCACACTGACCGTAACCACTTTAGCAGTCTCTAAAAATGTCGTTTCTCCACCACAGTCATTACCTTCTGTCAGAATGTTTCACTAATACTACCCCGATGACGTCCCACTCATGGAGAGCGTTCACTAATGCTATTCCATGTTCCACTAGTGCTAAAATGGGGTTATTTTTGAGTTTGCTTCTCTGTACTAAAGGAGCACCCATATTTTTAGGTGTTTATTATGGCAATCCCACTCCGGAGACCAGTTTTCTATCTTAGTCATTTTTGGAGTGGGGAGGAGAGTGGTTTAATAGTATCAATAATTTGTTAAATTATAAAAAACAAAACAAAAATCATTCATTTGGCTCAAAGCCTGGAGTTGAGGAAGTCCAAAATTCATGGTGTGAGCTGGTGAAAACCTTCCTGTTACATCACAGAATAGAAGGGAGAAGGGGGGGTTAGGAAGACACAGAGGGTGGGGCTGAAGTACCCTTTTATCAGGGACTCATTTCCACAGTAACTAAGCAACCCTGCAATGATCACAGTGATTCGTTCATCAGAGCTATGCAGGTACTGCCTAAAGGCACCGTCTCCTCCGGCCATCACAATGCCAAGAGAGCATCCTATGTTTAGAAGGGATTATTTACATCACAGTGGAAAATACATTTCAAGCCTCCTGCGGATGATCAGCAGATGGTGAACTCTGCATCTTCCTAGACTTCCAAGGAAAGTCTATCCAGTTCCCTTTAAGTTATAAACATAAATGTTTTATTACCTCTATCGCCTTTCCATGTTGTTTCATATTTCCATTATACATAGTACATATTTATATCATACCTCCTGAACATATACATTTACATTATATATATATGTGTGTGTGTATGTGTGAGTATATACAACACACACACACACACACACACACTTTCATTATGTTCAGAAAAGAGCCTCCCCAACAATATAGTGGTTATATAATCTCAAAGGATTGAATTTTAGGTCGTTGTGTACTTTAGCTATAACATGAGAATTCTTATTTCCAAGGATCTCAAATCCCAATAGTCCTACTAGAAGAACTTGACCTGAAATACTTTGGCAAACAGGTGATCACTGCATCCGCATCAAGCATCAGGAGCTCCAATTTCAAAACAAACAGAAAAACCCACTTTGTCATTCATGGATTCACAGACAAGGGGGAAGACAGCTGGCTGTCCAATATCTGCAAGGTGAGGGCAGTCACAGGAGGAACTGGACCTGTATCTAAGGGGGCTGTTGGCCACCACAACACAGGGATGTCCCTGAACCCTGATGACCCTGGACTGTCAGGGGAGAGGGAGGCGGTGGTGATGGATGCAAGGGTCATGGGACAGGCAGGGTGGCGAGGTTAGTGGGTGGCCCAGGCAGGGACCATTTGATAACGCATGCAGGGAAATTTCTGGCTTTAACAGGAGAAGCTGCCACACATCTGTTTCCCAGATGTTCACAGGAGCCCTTTGTTCTCTGGCCTTGAATTTCTGTATGAAGAGCAAGATGGGGATCGTATTCACACAAACTTTTTCTTTTGATCTTCCCTGGGTGCCCTGAGATCCTCTGGTAGCCGTGTCTAGGAATTACTTGTGAGGGTTTTCATGTCTGGCTTTGATGTGTTTGTGGAAATGATTCTATTTTCCTTCATTTTGGCTTCTGTTCCCAGTAGTAATGGACAGTGAAAAGAGACAGCCAGTAACATCATTGAAATAACTCCAATGATGAGCAATGCAATATACTGACCCAAGCCAGATTAGACTTCCAGCTCCAATACCTTTGATGTGTCTTCATATCTTTTGGTTCTTGTTGGGTACCACAAAATGCTTTAGACACTGGGGATGCAGCAATGAATCAGGCAGTGTCCTTAAGAGCATTCTAGAAAGGCACAGTGGAACTCTAAGACATGAGGATGCTCAGATGAGATAACTCACTATGCCACATCTATATTTGTAAGGTAAAAAAAAATGCCTATGTGTCTGCTACAGTTGAAATACCAAGAATGCAGTTCCCAGGGGAGGGGAGTCATGCCTCAGTCCGGAGTCAGTGATAGTCTTGAGGAAGAATTCTATATCCATTACTAAGTTTCAGGTCATAACTTTTGGATTAAAAAAAAAAAAGTATGTGCACAATACTTTTCAGGTATTTTTCAGGAGATATTTTACCCATTCTTTAAACGTGTTAGTAACCAATCAAGGTCCTGGGTTGTTTACATTCTTGTGCCCGTTCCTATCAGAACATGTTCAAGGTAGAAAATGCAAACTGCATCTGTGTGGACTGGAAAGGCGGCTCTCGAACTGGATACACTCAGGCTACGCAGAACGTGCAAGTCGTGGGTGCAGAAATCGCGTATTTGGTGAAAGCCCTTCAGGTGAGTGCTTCCTGATCGCATAAAAACCATACCCAATGCTTTCTCAACTCTCTTATCAAATGAAAAGAAAAAAAAAGCTATGGATACAATCATTTTACATTTCAGCATATTTATTTTAGCTGGCACATAAAAATTGAACAAATTTAATGAGTATCACATTGTGTTTTCCTATCATTTTTCTTTGTGGTGTTCAAATCAGGACAAACACATGTGTCTAAGATGAAGTCACCTGTTACTATTCCTAGGTTTTGAAATTTATTTACATTTTGTATCCTACACTGACCTCACCTTGTAATAGTACCCCAGAGGTTCTTACCTGCTTATTACTTAATACCCATGTGTCAACAGTTTTCCATTCTCTCTATTTTTATGCTTCCTAGCCCTTACTAATCCCAATTCCACCCCTGGGTTTCTACAAGATCAACTTCCTTTTTGGTCCACACATTGGTGAGATCACGTGGTACTCATCTTCCTATGCCTGACTTGACATGGTTCTATCCATGTTCTCACAAATGACAGAATGTCATCCTTGTCACAGCCAAGTCATATTCCATTGCATACACATGCCCTGTTTTCTTTGTTCATCCATCGACCGATGGACACATGGGATGTTTCAGATTCTTGGCTGTTACGAACAATGCTGCATGAACATTAGGAATGCAGATGTCTTCTCCCACCCTCAACAGCACTGAGGTTTTTCCCTCCGGCCGCTGGTGTTGTTCTGCCGCCGCGCCTGCACCAATTAACACACTGAGACTCTGTATTTGATATAATGCTGTTGGCCGGGTACTAGTTTCTTATCGGTTAGCTCTGTCTTAATTGTTAACCCATTTCTGTGTATTTCCATGTGGTCTTACCAGCGAGAGGCGGCTGGCAGTTCTACCTTCTCTAGTCTCTCCATCTTGACCCCTCCTTCCTATTTCCTCTTTCCTCCTTGTCTCCTAGTCCCTCCTCTCTTCCTTTCCTATTGGCCAACAGTGCTTTATTCATTAACCAGTATGAGAAACATATATACATAATGACATCTCCCATCACAGCACGGTTTGTTGGGTCTTGCGATATTTCTGTTTAACCTTTTGAGAACTCTCCATGGTACTTTCCACAATGGCCATGCGGTCGGTCTCTTTCTCCACACACTTCACAGTGTGTAGTATCGTTGGTCTCTCTCCCACTGGTTATTACTGGAATTAGGTGATAGCTTACCCTGGGGTTGATTTGCCTTTGCTGATGACTAACAATGCTGGACATTTCTTCATATGCCTGCCGGCTGTCTGTATATCTTTTGAGAAATTTCGATTTCAGTACATTGCCCATTTATGAAACCAGATCATTCCTTTTTGCTATTGAGTTATTTGGGCACCTTTTGTGCATTGGATATTGTCTTCTTGTTGATTTTACAGTTTGCAAATATTGTCTTTCACTAAGAGGCCTCTTCGCAATGTGCTAAGGAGAGACTTTTAAAAGGGATATAAGTCATTCGTCATTTTCATTTTCTGAGATTTTGGGGGCCTTGCCAATCTCATTTCATAACCTTAAACTCAGACCACTTCCCCAGAACAAGTATGACAACTGACAAAGACATTTCTGTACTTAGATGGCCTTCCACCTACCTGAAACAATGACACAAAGCAATCTAGATTTGTGTTCACCTATAAACCTACTTCCCAGAAAGCTGTGGGGATTTTTGTTTTTCCTTAAGAGAGTTTGCAGAAACAGTGTTTAGGTCATTTCTAGTGACCTAGATATGGTTACTAGATAAGATAATTTTGATCTCAAGATTAAGCTAGCTATACTTTTTTTTTTTTTAGAGAAAAACGAAGATTTGAAGCTAATCTGATTGGGTATCCTAAAACGGAAAGTGTTAAACTTGGGTTTGATTTGATAGTTGCTTTCATGGTACATTTCTAGTTGAATTCTTGCCTCATCATCTCTGGATAGCAACTATCATTCATTGCTTCTCTTTTTATCATGATTGAACAAAAGACAGACCAGTTTTTACCAGTTTAATAGCCTAAATCCATTTCCATTTTTATTGCAATTGTCTGCAAACTGAAATAAAATTCTTCAAAAGGGCACGATGTCTAAAATTCCATTTTAGAAAAGCTCTTTGTACGGACCTGTCTTGAATTCTGCAATAGTTGAAAATATGCTGAGAGACTCTAGGGCAGCTTTTCTAGACTGAATCTACACACCCCAGTTCTCATTTGGTTTCTTAGGCTGTTGTTTGGAACCAAATTAAAATAAGAAAGATTAATGGAGAAACACCTGTAACTTCTATTAGTTTTTGAATGTACTTGGGAGTCACCAGAGAAAAGGTTGAAATAGGTGGTAAGATAGTAGAAAACTTACATGATTTTTACACAAAGCATGACAATTTTTGTGAAGACGTATCAAGATGGAAGGCTCTTAGACAGGGGTGGTAAATTCCAGGAGGACCAGTAAGAGCTACATGGAGTGTGGTGAAAAATTTATAGGAATGGGTGATCTTAGCCAATTTACATGTCTCCACTGTAGCATGAATTCTGGTGATGAGATAAGCAAAAGCTCATCGTGTATTAGTACGAGGAAGGCATCTTTCTTACAGGGAATTCACAGCTTGCTGTAGGAGAAATAGGGAGCATAGACCATCCCTATGAAAAAGGGCCTCGGATATTTATGTCAAAGATCATGGCTCAGTTCTGAGTCTTCACTCTGAAGCTTTACTTTCAGGATGTTTTGCTACTAAAGGCCAACTTGGCAGCTCTTTGGAGAGTTGAGTTCAAGGTTATGAAATGAGACTGGCCAAGAAACAAAACAAAAAATGTGTAGCGGGCATAAATTGGAGCAAGGAAGAAGGAAGGAATTCTGGTACACACCCCCCCCCCATGTAACTGATCTCTTGGCCCTAATTGCCAGTCAGATCAAGTCAACAAAACAGACAAGCTTCCCTTGGGAGGTAGGGCCACAGACAGAGTACCATTATCATTGGGTCTTGATGTAGTGCCAACACAAAGATTGCAAATAAATGCCATTTCCATGAAAATGAAATAAAAATAAAAGCTAATGATAAAAGGAACACTTAAACTAGTTTCTGAGTTTGAAGGGTAGCCAGATGATAATTTTTTTTCTTTTTCAGTACTGGGTTCAAAATATCTCCAGTTGAAGTAAGGGTAGGTAGTAGAAATCCAATAGATTCAATTTCTAGCTTAAATACCACCCAGCTTCCATTCCCAGGGCTTCAGTACAAACACCCTTGGTTGATTTCCGTGATGTCAACTCAAAAAAGCAGGAGGAAATTGGAAATGTTAGCTTGCAGCTTTCAATCAGATATTAGAAGAAAGTTAGAAAACTCGGGGTTTAATATAGTTAGTGGCTAAATAATAAAATCTAAAAACGTTACCCAACACTGAGATAGAATGTAGTACCTATGTGTTTCAGAACTTTCTTCTAGGATATAATTTTTTTTCTCCATAACCATCCCCTATTTATCAAAGAATCAGAGTGAGACTCATTCGTTGTCAAAACAAAATTAGTCTCATTATGCTTGACTTGATTATTTGACAAATACATGGAGAACAATGACTTACTCTTTTTAAACTCTGTTCATTGGAAAAGTTCATGTGTGGGCATGTTTATTTGCCTGCATTATGCCTGTGTACCACTTGTATGTGTGATCTCATCAGAGTCCAGAAGTGGGTGTTGAATCACATGGGACAGGAAGTACAGATGTTTATGGGTTGCCATGTTTGTCCTGGGTATCTGGAAGGCAGCCAGTGTTATTAACCACTGAGCCACCTCTTCAAGCCCTTATAGGATTTCTTTATATAAGAAATCTGCTTATATTAGACATTAAAAGCCTTTTAAGACTAGGAAACCGAGTGGCACTCAGTGCTAGTGCTAACATGTGCCTGATGGAGTCTTCTCTCTTCAAGGTTGGCACCATAACTTTAAGATCCTGGGATGTCCAGGACATCTTTAATTCTCTATGAGGTTGGAAACACTATGATGGAAATATGTATTCAGGATTCCTGGGCAACTTCTTCAGGGAGGATTGGGCATTCTTGTAGAATCCATAAAGCCAACCTCAATCCCTTCAAGTTGTCTTACCGAGTCAGGAAATATGCGTTCTGGTTAAAGCCTCTGTCACATAACTGCTGATACAAAGTGTACCCTGTTACAAGGATGACAGATTCTTATTGAACATACACAAATAACTATGTTACCATAGAAACAAGAGTTTGCAGAAAATAGTTTTAATTGTTGTTCACATAGTATGTTTTACCAAAATTGCTAAAGGATATAGATGACATTAGAAATTTTCAATTAAAAAAAGTCAAAGTATAAAACGCATCAATGTTTCCAAAAGAGAGTCATTGAAAAGTCACATTTCAACAGCCTCTGGCCATGCAGGTCTTTCGCTTCCCTGCTTAGTGTGGAAGAACAAGTTCCTAGAGTGGTCCAGCTCATCTGGGTCCTCGTTGGAGCTTAGAAAACTCTTACAAGATACAAGATATCAAAGTTTCTCCATAAACTTATTTTTAAAAAGCATCTGTCAGGTTTTTAATTTTTTTTTCTGTGAATTTCCAAAGACTTCAGAGAAGAATTGGTTGGCATCACAGGGCAAATGTCTGTAGAGAAGTGTGCTCCGCTTGACAGTATGACTGCCAAAGAGACATGTCTTTCCAGGTATCTGTGCATGCAGATGCAGGAGATACACACACACACTTACACACAGAGAGAAGCAGGAGACACACTCAGAGGGGAGAGAGATACATAGAGAATAGAGACACACAAAGGAGAGACAAGAGAGAGAGGAAGAGAGAGACTGGAGAGACACAGAGTGGCAGATCTCTTGTATGACCCTTGATTTCTTCCCTACCCTATAGTCTGACTTTGGATATTCTCCCTCAAACGTTCACCTCATCGGTCACAGTCTGGGCTCCCATGTTGCTGGTGAGGCTGGAAAGAGGTTGAATGGAGCCATTGGACGAATCACAGGTTAGTCACAACAACAAAATCTACAAAATTGGATCACATATGGCCTCTGTGAAATCCAAAAGGAGGGCCAGGAGGGGGATCTGGAGTAGATTTCTAGCTTGTCACACTTGGGTGACATTACCAGAAGTCAGGCCCACCTGCCTTGTTACTTTGTAATTGACATTGACTCTTGGGTTACTGTATCCCCTTTAAAATGTACTGCACCTTAATTGGGGCTCAAGGATGAGAGGGAGGCATTGTTCCTTTATGCCCTCCATGTTCAGATCTTCACAAAAGATGAGGTTCACAAACAGAATAAATGTTACAAGCGATGGATTTTAACCCATCGCTAAAAGTCGTGTAGTTACCTGAATTCTGTTCCAATATGGACACATGATGACCCTGCGCCTTGTCAGCTTCAAAGTCAGGGCTGTGAAAAGGGAACCACCCATGTCTTCTGGGTGCTGCCGATGTATTTAAAGGGCCTTTTTGCATATTCTGACTATTCAGTATCTGAGGCATGGACGTTGCAGGGAACAACCAATTTCTTCCTCTTCCTTCAAACTTCTGTGTTGAACTGACAATTCTTTCTCTTTTTAAAATGTGTGTGTGTGTGTGTGTGTGTGTGTGTGATCCATATATGTTCAAAGACTCTCCTCCACCCCATAAGACAAAGGTTCAAAGTTTCATTATGAATTCTTGGCTGGCTTGGAAATTGCTAAATAGACCAGATTGGTAGTGAACAGAGATCTGCCTATTGCCAGAGTGCTGGGATTAAAGGCATATACTACCACATTTTTTTGGAGGCAAGAGATCGCCAATTGGGTGATCTCTGGGTATCCTTCGGCCTTTATACCCCTTTTGCTAGGGTTACAGAGGTTGAGGTGCTGCCCCAGCTTCATGTGGGTATTGGGGAGCCTAACTCATTCATGTTCATATGGCAAGGATTTTATCCAATGAACCATCGCCTCAGCCCCTCTCATCTTTACACATTGGGAAAAGTTACATTAGATTGATGGGGGTTATCTCAAATTTCTATCGATTAACTTGATGAACAAACGAAGTTCTTCCAGAATGTTCTTTCCTATTGCTCTGTGGGGAGTTATGCAGTTCTGGGGTCTTATTCTTCTGGGTCTGTTGGGTTCACTGAACCTGAGATGCTTTATAATCCACTGCCTCTGCTGCCAGTGGCCAGGATTCTCTCAGGGACTTAAACATCCTTAAGCAGAGGCAAATTCACTTCCAAGCAATAGGAAACAACCTAAAAACAGCTTCCTCTTCAGAAAGTGATGGGCAAGGAAGTTGTGGTCTCTTTCTCCCGTGAGTAATTTGGGATTACAGCCAGTGCTTACACTCAGGTCTGGAACTAGTGAAGAAAGCATTTGCACCTGAATACCAACTTAATGTACAACACAGCTCATTTGCTTTAGGGTTGGATCCAGCTGAACCTTACTTTCAGAATACACCTGAGGTTGTCCGATTGGACCCCAGTGACGCCCAGTTTGTGGATGCGATTCACACAGATTCTGCCCCCATGATTCCCAACATGGGTGAGTTCTAAAACACGCTGGCCCAGATTGTTGCGCATGCACTTTACATTCGTAAGAATGTCTTAAGGAGCCAGTGACAAACTTTCCCTTGCTTTTAAACTTCTTCAGGATTAGGAATGAGCCAAACCGTGGGCCACTTAGATTTCTTCCCAAATGGAGGGAAAGAAATGCCTGGATGCCAGAAGAACGCTCTCTCTCAGATTGTCGACATGGATGGGATCTGGGAAGGTAAAATCATCATGGAGACCAAGGTCTTCACCAGGGAACATGTTGTTAAATTTGCTGATGCCTAACAGAGGTTTCTAAGCACATAGGCTTCCACAGGAACAAGTGGGCATCAGGGACTTTGAGAAACATAATTTAGCAGTGGACATTTCAAAAGCCTAAACTAGCTCAGGGGGCTGGAGTAGGTTAACAGTTAAGGTCACGTGTTGCTCTTGCAGAGGACCCAAGTTCAGTTCCCAGCACTGACACTCACAACTACCTGTAACTCTGGGTCCAGGGGAGGGGTATTCACAACCTCTGACCTCACACCTCTCTCTCTCTCTCTCTCTCTCTCTCTCTCTCTGTCACACACACACACATAGTTTAAGAAGTAATAAATAAAAAATGTAGACATTTTTTAAAGAACCTAATTCAAGGAACCCATTACTAAACTGCATTTATGTCTACCCAGACCAACCTCCCTTCCCTCCAGCTATTTTTCCATTTCACTTAACATCACTCAATTATTTTCATCTTAAGCCGTCCTGAGCTTCAGATCAGATCTCGTATCATGAGTACACTTCATAAATGGTTATATGCTGTGACCCGTCAGGAGTTCACACCCATTAGAGAAGTCTATATCCTCATCACCTCATCACAGTGGTAATTTTAGAAAAATAAAATCTGCCATTGATATCGTGTCTGACTTCACAGGGACTCGTGACTTTGTGGCCTGTAATCATCTAAGAAGTTACAAGTATTATACAGACAGCATTGTCAACCCAACTGGCTTCGCTGGCTTCTCGTGTGCCTCTTATAGTGACTTCACTTCGGTAAGTATTTGCACTTCAAGGAAAGACCAGTGTGGTTCACGGGACACGAGGTCTTTCAGTGGATGTTTGTGCTTTCATATTGTATCCACCTGTAATGGTAGGGAAACACCTAAATAAGAAGTACTCAAGGACGTCAGAGTGCTCAGCTCCTCAAAGACACAATGTACTGTGTGCTTGGCAGATGCAAACATATTTGTTTTGGAAGTAATCCTAAATGAGAGAAAGGGGCTGCAGACGTCTGAGCTGTGTTGATAGGATGTGATGAACATGGAATATTATCTTTGACTCCTTAAAAATTGTGACGTTATGGCCAAGGGATGAGTCTGGGAATTCTCACAGTAACTGATACATATTTGAGTCTTTGTTTTGCTTATTGTCTTGACACCGAGGCTAGATTCTAACATGTTCTAGGATGTGGCATGCCTGCTTTGCCTGGATCTTGCTTGTAAGATCGACTTTTCTTCCCACAAGATAATTCAAATAATTAACTCTAACCTGCGTAATTGAATAAAGAAAATTTTGAGTGAGTGCATCAAGGCAGTCAAAACTACTAAGAGGTATGTCCTAGTGGTTGAAGAAGAGACTGCTGTGGGTTGCATCTTTTGTACAAATATGAATGAATGAATGAATGAATGAGTTTTAACAATCCTTTAGACAGATGGATATCTTAGGGCAAAGAGGCTGAGCTGGAGAAGAAGAGAAATACATGCAAGTCAGAATGCTTCCATTGTAACGAGCAGGGCAAGATGGTTCACTGAAGGAAGGAGCCTCCTCATTCATCATTTGCTTTTCCCTAGGACAAGTGCTTCCCCTGCCCTAGCGGAGGATGCCCACAGATGGGCCATTACGCTGACAAATATTCTAGAAAAACAAGTGGAGTCGGCCAGAAATTTTTTCTAAATACCGGTGATGCTAGTAATTTTGCTCGTAAGTTTCTACTTTAATTAACTTATATTCCAAGTACAAAATATTGTCTCATGTTCACTGATAACATGTAAAATCGATTTCCTTGTGGACACTTTAAACATGGCTCTACACTGTGGAAAACTTTCACAGAGTAATGACGTGGTCTGAGTAGCTGGGCAGAGCGACTCATGAAATGAACTTGTTCACATTTAACCATGGAGCTGAATTCAGACGGCTTCCCCTGCTCCGTCCTCTTGGATTCAGTCATAAGTTTTGTTGAACAGAGTTAATTTTGTTTTGAGATTTTGTACCAGAAGAAAGTAATCTCTTAGGTGGCTGGGATAGTTGGAATTGACAGAGGAGAGACATGGTTTGGACCCATGGGAGGTGGCCATGGGGGTGCTGGAATGTTGAGGTACAGGGACAAGCTGGTTTCTTCTCTGGATAATGGAGAGAGAAAATTGCTTGGATGGGTGTGAATGGAGTGAACGGCCCTATAAAAACTGAAAACCAGATTTACTCTCCTTCCTGTTTAGCCTATGCTAATGCTAATGGCACATAGTTCACGACTGACTAGCACCAAGGAAACTTTCTTTTGATTGTCTAACTTGGTTCATTTCCAAGCTTAATATAAAATGGAATTATAGAGTTTAAAAAATAAATATACGTTGCTTACATAAAAACATGTCAGGACTCTAATTAAAACTTGGTGATCTATAAAAACAAAGCAAAATTACCCACTGTACTATTTTCTGATGCCTTCTTACGGTAGAGTTCTTAGAACACTGAAAAATGAGTTGCCACGTTACTAAATAGAAAGCCAAATGTATTTCCTAGTCCTTTGACTTGAAAATCAAAGTATCTATGGATTTTATAAGTTTCTACATAACTCTCACTCATCGGGGCTGACCCCTCAATAGGGAAGACTTGAGACTCTGCTGTCAGTAGACTTGCTAACACCATGTGTACATTTCCCAAAATCCTAATGCAGTAGGATCTAAATAATTCTGATGAAACTGTGTCTCCTCTCCAATTGTAATACTGTGACAATTTTGCTCTTGAAGGCTGGAGGTACCAGGTGACTGCCACCCTGTCTGGACAGAGAGTCACAGGACACATACTTATCTCCCTGTTTGGAAGCGGAGGGAACTCTCCACAACATGAGATTTTCAAGTGAGCAGAATATTATTCTGATCTTCTTCACTGTTATGATATACCACATAAGAGTTTGGCTCTTCATAACCGCATGGTAGTGTCATCACATGGAACACGGAGGGAATATTTTTCACACTTACACCTTAACAAATTTCAGAGTTCTACTTTTGTTTCTCTCTGCTCTATCTCAACAACCCCTTGTGCATACTCTGATTCCTGGCATCTGGGTTGTAAACAGTAAATAATTCATTCCCTTGCAAAAAGCTGGGGGAAGACAATACAATGATATCCTGAGAGATGTCATGTACAATCCTATTCCCAGTTTTATTAAAGTTAAGAGTTGCCCTTGAAGTAATCATTGTCAAAAGCAAAAGCTATCACTTAGCATGCATGTGTTAATGCATTTAATACAATGGAATGGAAAATGCCTATCAACCCAAGAAGCTTTCTAAGCTTTCAGAAACGCATATGTGTTATCTATGCACACATGCATCACACGTGTGTTTATTTATGCATGTGTTTCTGTGTGTTGCATAGTATTGTTGTTGCCTTCTTCCCTACCCAGGGGCTTTCTCCAACCTGGAAAGACTCTTACCAGTGAGTTCGACTCTACTGTGGATGTTGGTGATCTGCAGAAGGTTAAATTTATTTGGTACAACAACGTGATCAACCCAACTCTACCCAAAGTGGGGGCATCGAGGGTCTCGGTGGAAAGAAATGATGGCAGAGTGTGAGTAATCAGAAACAGGGGTGGAGAAGGGTCAAGGAGTATTCGTCATTCCCCTCTAACATTTTCTTTGAAGCTACATCTCCTACGGAGTCTCCTTCCTAAGGCCTCGTGTGTCTTTAGGAGGCTGTGTTAAATATTAGGAATGCTACTTTGATAGATTATTAGATGAAAGAGGAGAATGTTTTCTTTACCAAATAGGCTTAAGCTAAGTGTGTGACACTGCCATTTAGGTTGTTGGGAACATGTTAATTTATCAAGGAACAGAAGTATGCCTCAGGCTCTCAAAGTTTAGGTCAGAGAGCTAAGGGTAAAAAGGTACAAGGCACCTAGATTTCAAAGCACAGTCTGCTAAAGAGGTGTAGAGAAAGTGTGGTCTAGAAAGTTTAGGAAAAGGTCTAAAAAGCTCCCTCAACTATTTAGCATAGTTATAATAAACACACATGTGCAAGCAAACCAGCCATGGCCAGGGAACAAGCCACTTGGAAGGTTAGAAGAGGCAATGCTCTGTTCTCTCCAGAAGTGGGCCCATGGTCTGTTCCCACCAGGCAGACGGTACTTGCCTGTCATCATGCTGACAAGGTCCCATTTCACGGTGTGGAATGAATTACCTAGACTGAGCAGGCTTTGACATGATCAAATTCTTTCCAAGCAACTGAACCGGACCACAGAACAAACTTGTAGAAACAAAATTATCCATCAGTGAACATCTTATCAGCCACACATGGAAATGTAACTCAACGATTAACAACTCTACAAAGACACCAGATAATATAGTCAGAGCTGACACTGGTGTTAGGCAACACATAATAGCACTCAGAGGTTATCACATGCCCGTTTCACTTATTCAACAAGGTTAGAAGAAATACAACCGATGTACAAAAAGACCAAAGTTGAACTTCTACAGATTAAAACTACAATGTCTCACATTAAAACACAACAGATAGCTTAGAAACTGAGTAAGAAATTCATAAATAACAGATAGGGACTATACAAATTGATGTAGAGAAAACTATTTATGAACTGCAAACCGTATCGTGACCTACTAGAAAATTCAAGACAGACAATAGAGCTGTTTTTGAAGACCATATAGGCAAAAGGGACATTGCAAAAGTAATGTCTCCAAAATTATACAAAGTATTGAAAAACTATAAACCGAGGGGTCTAGAGGACACAGCTAACATGCTTCCAAACCAAATCATTCAAATCCAGTCCTAATGGGAAAACTCATGAAAGTAGCCAGCGGGAAGAGCAGAAATTAACGCCACAGCCAGCTCTCACAGAAGTAGCCTGCTCACTATCCTGTGGTCCCTCCCACCCACCAAAAGCAACTTCCTCGAAGAACACGCTTATTTGCCTCACACTGCCACTCACTGCCCACCACGGAGGGAAGTCAGGGAAGGAACTCCAGCAGGCCGCATGAAGCTACCTTTCTTGCACAGCCCAGGACTACCTACCAGGGAATGGTGTGGCCCACAATGAGCTAGGCCTTCATATTTCTATTAAGACAATCGAGACGATACCGTCTGTAGATGTGTCCATGGACTAACCTGATAAGGAGTTTCTCAGCTGATACTCCCTGTTTTTTTCTTCAGGTAATTCTAGGCTATGCTAAATCGACAGTTAATGTTAAGTGGAACACATACCCCTTAACTTAGGCTTTTCAGCCACACAAACACTTTTCAAAGATGAGAGTGAGACACTTTCCAAACTGCCAACATTTAGACAGCTCTTCACCAGCCAATCAGTCCTACACGGAATGCTAGGGAGCCTTCATGCGCATTATTGTAACAGGGAGTGAATCTGCAGAAAGGAACCATGATTGCCAAATAAGAAAGTAATTATTTTGAAAAACGCCTAAATATCATGCATTTTCAAAATAATTTAAGTCTCTTTAAAGCAGTTGACTATTGAGAAATAGTAACATTTAGGGGTTTATATGATAGACATAAGCAAAGTGTATTGTAACAATGTAACAAAGGGCAGGAAAAGACAGATGGAAACATAGTCTTGGAGGGTCATCATCATGTGGGTGAACTGCTATGATATCATTTGGAGATTTAATATGGTAAGTTAAAAAAAATAGGTGTGCCATTAATTGTAAAGCAATCAGTAAAGTAAGTTGGGGAGAAAGGAGACATGAAATATTCAAAATAGGACATGAAAATGGAGAAAGAAAAAGCAAAGATTGTGGAGCAATAGCTAACGCTGAAGGGAGATGCCTCAGCCACTTTGGAAGAGAGGTTGGCCACTCCTTCAGAGCCAAGCATACGCCAATCTGCAATGCAGCCAATCGACTCTCAGGCTCATTAGATTTTGCTCACTTGAGAATATTCAACGGAAATTCCAGGGACTGAAAACTCTATCATTTTAAATTGTATGCACTCCTGAAACATATAGCAGAAGTTCACGATGCCCCACTTCATCCCAGGACAGGAATTGCCGGCTGTTCGGGTGTACCCACGGGCATACACTACCCACTCACGTTCATCACTAAGTCAGCTGTATTACAGGCTTGGGCTCAAGTCTTTATTATTTTGATTAATATTTAAAGCTCCATAACAGGCCTGGCTGTTATACATTCACTTCAGCACTATATATCAATATATATGTATGTATGTATGTATGTATGTATGTATGTATGTATGGTGTGAAATGTGTGCATCATGGTGCGTGTGGAGTTTGGAGAATAACATTCAGATTTCAGTTCTTTCCTCTACCATATGAGTCCCAGAGCTCAAACTCAGGTAATCGGGCTTAGAAGCAAGTCATATTCTAGCCTCTAAATTTATTTTTTATTGTTTCTTAAATTTTTAATTTTATGTGTCTGAGTGTTGCATGTGTGTCTGTGCATGCCTGGACCTGTGGAAGCCAGAAGAGGGCATTGGATCTCTTGAAATAGCAATTGCTGATGGCTGTGAGCTGCCGTACGGGTTCTGGGAATCAAACCCTGGTCTACTGCAAGAGTATCGAGTGCTCGTAACTCCTGAGCTATCTTGGCAGCATGTATGTATGTATGTATGTATGTATGTATGTATGTATGTATGTATATGTATATGTATATGTATATGTATATATATGTTTTTATTTCTAATCTATCCTTCCTGTACTCCAGCTGGTCTCTTTTCTCCCTTTAATAGTCCCCACAACACATCTGCTTTTGTAACACAGATTCCATTGGAGAAACATCTTAAGTATTCTAGGTCAAACAATGCTCAACGGAGTTATTGTAACAAACATATTTGCCTCTGAGGCGAGTCCCACAGTTATTCCCATTTTACAAATAACCTCACACAAGTTCAATGCCAGAATTTGCATGAAGTTTAACTACAGCGAGCTCATTTAATATGACCAAACCACAACACTTCAGTACATCTATACTTACATGTAGATATCGCGTAGCCTTGTTAATATTAGTTCTTAACCTTTACCCTGACGTTTGCAAAGCTGTCAGACCATGGGTGCAAAATGAAAAGAATAAGGGGGTTTTTCTGAACACTTTTTAGAGGTCATGCACTTTACACATGCTAATGCATTTTATTAGAGTAAACTAGACACAAAGAGTCACAAGTGTTGCTTACAAAGAAACCCAGTTACTGCAGTTCAATGTTGGATTAAAATAAGAGCGGCGAGCTAGCATAGGACCTCGCCGGCGGTCGGCTTTGAGCAGGACTGGTCTCTGCTCTTGCTCGGTTGCTTTGGTTGGCTGAGTTCTTCCTGATCTTTAGGGAATCCAATGGTAGTGTCTTTTTGCTTGTTTGTTTTTTCTATTTATACAACTGTAAAACGAACTTGGATGGGAGAATTCCGTACCTCAAAAGTCAGAAGCCAGCCTCACCTGCAGAGTGTACACCTCACTCAGACCCACAGAGAGCTGTAGTGGGCCCCATGACTGACACTATGGTCCCAGCTGTGTCCGGAGAGGAGTAACCTTTCCGTGGATTTTTTTTTTCTTCCCAGGTTCAACTTCTGCAGTTCGGACACCGTGAGGGAGGACGTCCTGCTCACCCTGTCATCATGTTAATTAAGAACTCGTGACAAGGGACCGCGTGGCCGCATCTAGCTGCTAATAAAATCCAGCGTGAAGCAATCCTGTAGTTGGAAGTTTTTTCTAAGTCTCGCTTTTTCTGACTGAACTGGTTTTTCTCACACCCACAGCTCCCCACAGCGCTTATGGAATAATCACACCAAATTAAATTATTATTGTTGGTCAGTAGCTCTGGCTTTTTAATGGCTAGCTCTACCCATAAATTAACTCATTTCTAATATTCTGTATTTCACTAGGAGGCTCGTGGCTTGTTACCTTCTCACACCTTGCTTCCCGGGTGCCTACATGGCATCCCCCTGACTCCACCTTCCTTCTCTCTGAACCTCTGTTTGGATTTCCCACCTAGCTATATTCTGCCTGGCCATTGGCTGAATCAGCTTTATTTGTCAACCAATACAAGCAAGGCATATTCGCAGCATACAGAAGGGCATCCCTCACCATAATCCATTATGTCTCTTGTCAGTTCCCATACGTACAGGGAAACTTTTTAATGTGGTAGTTAAAAATCCCAAGTCCTCAGCCCGGGCGACTACAGGGTATGGTTACATTCTGGATACATATTGTGTGGTAGTCACACTTTGGAACATGACACACATGATCTATCACAGCATCCACTTGATATTATTGATATCATTCTGATCACTGGGGCAGACTTCCAGGATCAAGGGATCCGCTCTTGGTAGGCTCACAGGGAAGTACTAAATCTAGACTTTGTACCCATCATCTTCCTGGTCAGACACCCCATGCGTGATGGCAGGGTAGACAGTGTGGATGAGGCATAGGATGCCTCCTAACGGTCACCAGACACCTCCCGTGCCCAGAGAATTTCCCTAGTGCCCTGCCTCTCTTCTCTGTGGGCCACACGATCTTCCTAAAGGGTAGTGATTTGTACCGTCTGAAGAGAAGCATGGGTTACCTTCTTCATCTTCCTAAAACACAAACCACCCATCCATCCCTCAGTGTGAAAGTCCAGTCTGTACGCACCTGATCCTTCACGTGCAATTTTCAAAAGCGTTCTGTCTAAGTACTCTGTACGCTGGTTACTCATTTAACTCGGATACTATTATGTAAGCTAACTCCATTTATTCTGCCCACTTCCAGATGAAGCAAATGTTGATGGAGCTTTTCTTGTCCTGCCTAGGTCCTGCCCGCCCTCCTCAGCCCCAAATAAACACATAGATGCTATATTAGTTATGAAACTGTCGATCAGTGGCTAGGGCTTCTTATTGGCTAGCTCTGTCTTAATTATTAACCCATTTCTATTAATCTAAGTATTTCCATGTGGTCTTATTTTACCGGAGAAGGGTCTGGACCTGTTACTCCTTTCTCAACTACATGGTGTCTCTGTGATGGGCTCCATCTGCCTATCTTTCCCAGAATTCTCCTCGTCTCTAAGTCCCGCCTATACTCCTGCCTTATTGGCCAACAGTGTTTTATTAGTCAACCAATAAGAGAAACACATATACGGAAGGACTTCCCCCATCAAGCAAAAGAAGCAGAACCCAATTGTTTAACTCAGGTATGACCCCTGGACATTCAGTGGTGGATCTACTTTTCCCAAACTCAGTTTGGAGGCCTATTTGTTTTCATGAAGCAGAGTTGGGGTTTAATGAAGAGATTTTATAGGTTTAAACATGAGAGTTAAAAGAATGAGGTCAGAAGAAAAGATAAGACACATCCATGAAATAATCCAAGTGTGGTCAACCTCCTTAACTGAGAGTCACGGGCCATTGTTTCTTAGGGTGGCTATATAGGAGTGTGCTTCGCAGACTTGCTAAAGAATTGAAGGGCAATCATGGGTAGAGTGGCTGTCGGGGTGTGTCTCACAAGATCGTAGCTAACAAGGTAAGTTTGAATAACAGGGCTGCTAGAACGCAGGTTATCTTTACTGTGAACAGTGTTACATGTTTTTAAAATATTTATTACTTATATAATAAATATATCTATTATGTATAAATGTACAGATAGATGTATTATAAATATAATTATATAACATATAAATAAATGCATACATTAAGTTATGTACATATGGTAGGTGCTTAAGTGCATGGATGTGCACCACTGCACGCAGTTCCCATAGAAGCCAGAAGAGGGCATCGGATCCCTTGGAACTGGAGTTAACAGGTCATTATAAGAGGCCCAACTTGGGCACTGGGAACTGAAACCCAGTTCTCCTCCAGGAGAGTAGTTCTCCGGGAGAGCAGCAAGTGTGTTTTTAAAATCTTTAAAAGTATTAAGAATAAAAGTCCTGTGTGAGACACTCAGTTGAAGTCTGGGGAGAGGTCAAATGCTTCCAGGCCTGAATGCAAATGCACTGTTATTTTAACATAAATGTCTAAGTATGAGAGGAATGTGACCTCTTGGCAGGCAGCCTTTACAGTAAAGTTAACTGTGCTGGAATTCCTGCCTCCATGCAGGCCAGGACCTTCTGCCAGACTCCAGGTGAGGGGCTCCTTTCTTCCTGTGTGCTACAGTTTCCCAGTCTCTCTATGCTGTTTTAA